TCTCTCTCTCTCTCTCTCTCTCTTTCTTTCTTTCTTTCTTTCTTTCTTTCTTTCTTTCTTTCTTTCTTTCTTTCTTTCTTACTGGAAAACAAGATCCTCATCACTAAAAGGAGTACAGACTAGACCAAGAAGGGTGGCTTGTGGCTGCTAGAAACAGTCCCTGGAGTGGCTACAGAATTGCACTGTTCTCTTTTACTCTGATTCTGACTGACACATCTAATGACAGACAGGCCCTGGGGCCCACTGTTTTCCATTAAACAAAAATAAGGAACCCCCTCTCCAGCCAACTTGCATAGTTACATTAAATAACCTCCCTCCCTCCCTCACACACAGACACACAAAGAGAGAGAGAGAGAGATGCAAGTGAAGAAACACTCCTCATTGTCCTTAAATTCTGCAGTCATTGAACTACAGTACAAAGCCTCAGTGTTGCCTCACATTAGCTAAGAAAAGTAACTTCTTGCAAGTAATTCTTTCCTCCTAAGCCCTGACGCCATATCTTGTCAAGAGCAAGTTTGGATTCAAGGCCATAGCACTCCAGTGAAGAAGAAGAAGAAAGGTATTAGAAGAAATGGAAGAGAGGAAAGTCATATTGAAATGAGTATAAAATACAACAGTAGTGTATAAAAGTATACTTTTAAGCCGACTCTAATGCAGCCAAGGAAGCAAAGCAGCAGTATGGCCTGAAACCGCTTCTGCCACTGGGAGCCCCCCTGCACCGTGGCAGGTTCATTCCATCTGCCCATGTCTGAGTGGGGTGTCCACACCTATACACAAGCCTGAGCCAAATGGACCAGCTCTTTGCTTTAGTATAAAGCAGCTTGTTTTTGTTAGCATGAGTTGATTTGATATGCTCATTAATGCACATCAATTCAAATTGATAAATGTTTTGGAGGAAGCGTATCCTTTAATGTCCAGGATCTGGAACTCCTGTTGAAGCCTATTACTGGTTCCTATGAAAGATACAAATGTGAGAATATCATAGCATGGAAAAACATAAAGCTATTTTTCTTTTGCAAATTTATTAATATTCCCTTTCTCATTAGTGACTGATCTTTCCCGGTGAAGACATACAGTAGCATACGTGGAAAAGTAATGGACAAAGGGGGAAAAACATTTTCTTGAAATGGAGAAGTTAGCATTTATATAGAGAACTATCATAACTCATATGGATAAGGCAGTATAGTTTACCTGAGCCTTTTTGCCATGTGTAGTGTTCATGCAGGAAAACAAATAGAGAGCCCCAGGGCACAGTGGTTGAACTGCAAGTATTACTTGCAGTCAAGCCTCTGCTCACAACCTGAGTTTTTACCTGATGGTTGACTTGGTTGACTCAGCCTTCCATCCTTCCGAGGTCAGCGAAATGAGCACCTACCTGATGGTTGACTTGATTGACTCAGCCTTCCATCCTTCTGAGGTCAGTGAAATGAGCACCTAGCTCATTGGGGGCAAAGTGTTGATTGCATAGTTATGTTGTAAACAGCCCAGAGAGTGTCTTAGCACTACAGGGCAGTATATAAGTTGAAACGACAAATACAGTATAATGAATATTAGTTTTGCATTCCCAGCCCCCAACAACAGAGAACGAAGGTCTTGTGGAAGGAGCCAAGGAAATGGGAAGCAGGAACAGTGACAAGATTCTAAAAGCAAATGCAGCAAAAAGAAGAAAAGCCCAATTAGTATAAACCAAAACTTACAGGAAAGTCGCAATGAGTTTGAAACAGACATGAAGTCCTGCTGCTGACGAAACTGTTACAACAATGGAAAGGGGGACTGGAGCAATTCTCTTTGCATACCCTCTGGACTCTGAACATTTTTTCCAAAGCTGTTTGCTCGACCCTCTGGAAATGATTTTGGAAGGATGTGCAGGGGTGAAAGGGGAGAAAATTCTGTTTTGGGGAAAGAAGTGTACTTGTATAGTGTTTGTTTCTGTGCTATTTATTGCCTCTTTTTAAAGTAAGAAAGAAACATTGGCAGAATCTCATGAAAGCTGCATCCTTAGTTTTGAATTAAAGGAACATGGGCAAAGACAGGATAGAGTTTTCTGAGATCTTGACAACTCAACCATGGTGGTTGTGGGAAGGGTGTGCCTGTGTTCACCAGGAATCTTCAAAGACTTTAACTGGGAGCCTTCTTAAATCAAGACAAAAGAAAACAGTGTCTTCCTGAGTGCCATATGCACAACAATGACAAGTTAACTGATTATGATTCATTTAACGGCATGAGCTGAACAGAAGATATGGCCCCGCAGGGCCTCTGATGGATTATCAAGGCACGGTTCCATAAACTCTAAATGGCTAGCTCTGTCATTGCCAAAACCAAGACTATCAACGAATAAATTCACCTTCTGTAATGAATGAAGGAGGAAGGTGAGAATGAGAACCCACTGGTACCAATATTGTACCAGTTTGAGAGCAAGGAATGAGTGGGCAGTCTAACTGCTAGAGCATGCAAAGGCACTCGAAAGCTAGACTGGAAAAGAATGGGAGTCTATCCTAGCAATTGATTTCACTTTCATAAAAAGACATCCTTCATATTTCTGAAAGATCAAACTAGAATCAAATGATGATTTATGAGTTGGATGTACGCCTGCCATAACTGCTTAATCAGTTATTTCCACAGGATGAGTCCCTTCCCGCTCTGTGAATCTGGTTATTTAAGAATTTGGCTCAAATTGTAGCCTTTCCTCTGTTTGTAGGTTATTTGCAGGTCTGATCACATTGAGACAAGTGTGTATCTTCTCTTACAATGTTATCCATCCAGGCATGCAAATATTTCAGTGCTACTGCCTGAAACATCAGACATGAAGACACAACCAGACTATCTCCCTAACGACTGGTTATAAAATAAAGCAAGCTATTTTACCAAGTGCAGATTGAGGCAAATTTATGTTTAGAATAAACAGACAGCCTTTTCCTTTTAAGGGTACCTTGCTTCTACATATGGAATTTGTATCTCATACGGCATTAGTCTCTCTTCTAGCGAAGACCTCACTAGAAGCCCAGAGTAGAGAACTGTCCCTGGTGCTGAAACTGAACAGTGAAAATATTCTCCACATCTATTTCTTATGCCTGCTACACAGCAGCAGTGATTGAGAATTTTATTAGAGTTATGCTTTGGTAACTATAATCAGTTTCATAATTTCTGAACAAGAAACCATATTATCCTTCAGGTTTTGAACTTCTGAAAACTTAGCAATTCAGTTAATCAGGGTTAAAAGGCCTACAAATATATACATTATGGGAAATAACAAATTCAGAGTGCTGGTTTTAACATATAAAGCCCTTACGAGTTTGGGACCTTGTCACTTGATGGAACCCTTCTCTCTCTAAGATTGTCCACCCATGTCACCCAGACCAGCCGGTTGTTGTGTTTGTGGGTGGCCACTTGAAGAAATGTTTGGAAAACTACCACCAGGAACTAGGCCTTCTTGGTGGTGGCCACAACACTATGGAATGTGTTACCCACAGATACATGCCAGGCGTCCTCTCTCTTGTCCTTCTGAAAACAGTTAAAACTATACTGTTCAAAGAGACATTTGGAAACATGTTACCCTGTAATATCTTCATGGCCCATGTACTGAGTTGATCTTGACTTTGATTTGCTGTCCAGGTTTCTGTCTTCCTTTTTTAAGATACCCTGAGTATTTAATGTTTCTTGGTTCTCTGTTTATGTCTTTTTGGATGGTATTGGGTTGTGGTATTTTGATTGTTGTTAACCGCCCAGAGTAGTGCCCAGCACAAGATGGGCAGGATATAAATGTAATGAATGAATAAATACATAAATAAAAACTTAAATAAATAGTGAAGGAGATTCAGAAAGACAGGACAAAGAAGAGTGTTTCTTAGGATAAATGTGTACAACAAGGTGCAAAAAATGTGGAATCGAAACAAATCACAAACGAGAAAGCATCTGGGGCTACTCCAGCTGAAGCCTGTAATGTGACAACGTCCCCTGCTGTGACCTTCACCTCATGATTTCTCTTGGTTATCAACAGCTGGCTGCTCTGGCTGGACTCCACGAGAAGATTTGAGCTCCTAACGTAAGCTTTCCCTTTCCCCTTCCTCCGCAGGTGTTCACACGCTACGGAAAATGCTACACATTCAACTCAGGTCAGTCTGACAAGCCGCCACTCATCACCATGAAAGGAGGAACAGGGAATGGTTTGGAAATGATGCTGGACATTCAGCAGGATGAATATCTTCCTGTCTGGGGAGAGACAGGTATGAGTTATCTTTCATCCCCAACTCCATGTTGATGCCTCACATGTTCGCCTTTTTTGGGGCAGAAAAATCATTTACCTTCCCAAGTCAGTCTTTCTCTATACATTATTTAACCCTTTCCAGTTGACCACTCCACATTCTGCCTTCTTCTACCGCCAAGTCCTCCCGGTCTCATTCCACACCTCATTCAGTCTTTCCTTGCCTCACTGCTTTGCCCGACCTGCAGTTTCCTTGAACCCATACCACACTTTCCCCCCATCCATTCCTCTTAGTCTTCCCCATTTCAGTCCTGTGTTATTCACCATGGCAACCAGCTTTATTACTGCCAAGCAAAACGCTGCCTCTTATCTACAAATAGCATATTGTTCTTTCTGTTGTCAAGACTACAGTGGGGTTAAAACATGGATCTCAGTCCAAAGGTCTCTCAGAGACTTCTGGGCCTCGGATCTGTAGCTGGTCCTTAATTTTTAAAATGAGAAGATTTGGGGCATAAACCTAACTGGGAGGCATGCCTTTGGCCTGGAAGACGTTCCCCAGCCTGAAATGTTTGGCTATAAAAATTCTTGAACTGAGTCATGGGATGGTGGTCCAGGAACTATTCTTTGCTTCTAACATATCTTAGAAAAGTTGCTGTTTGACTATAATATCCAGAATCCTTTAGTTGGGGATTCTGGGAATGCTCATCTCCCAAAATAAGTTTTCCAATATCTGAACTCTAACCAGGAAGTATGGCTCTAATCAGGCCAACCCTAGTCCAAAAAATACTATATCACAGAGATGGTTGATAAGACTGTGCAATCTGTAAGTGAAAGGATCGGACAGGGGAGAATCTACTCTCCTCAACGCCAGGCATGCTCTTCTGTACATCTGCCTGTCTACACACAGAGAGAGACCTTGGTTCTCACAGGGGACTGCAGGCTACAAAATCCTGAAAGGACCTTGGTTTCAGCCACCTGGCTTCTCTTTTTACTCTTCCTCTCTCTCTCTGCCACAGACGAGACCTCGTTTGAAGCAGGGATTAAAGTGCAGATCCACAGCCAGGACGAACCGCCCTTCATTGACCAGCTGGGATTTGGCGTAGCGCCTGGTTTCCAGACGTTTGTGTCCTGCCAGGAGCAACGGGTAAGATGAGGAAACCCCCCCATTCCCCTTAAGCCATCTCCGAGAATAGCTGTACAAGCAAAAGAAGAGGTGCTTTCCCACAGTCTGCCAGGCTGGCTGAAGCTGAAGCTGATGGAAAGTGCAGCCTAATGACATCTGGAGAGCAATAAGAATGAGAAGCTTGGAGCTAGGAAGTCTCTGGGAAAAGGAACAGGACAGAGTGGTTGGAGAGATTCGGTGGGTAACAACCATGACCTCTAGGCTCCATCCTTGTCCGCACAGGCGCACACCTAAGACAATGTTACTTACCTGTGGCTGTATCTTATTGTCACCTTTTTCTTCTGCTTTGAGACCTTTTTCTTGAAATTATTCTAAGTAAGGGCATAAATAGAAAGCCTCGAGTCATTGTTTTGTGACCAGAGTTGAGCCAGGGGTCCGAAAGAATGAATTTTACATGCTCTTTCACTTTACCTTTAACATGATTGTTCCTTGAATAGAAAGCATCTGGAGGATGGATGATTTCATCTTAAATATTAAATTATGAATACGTGCTAGAAGGCAACAAGAATTTAGCCTTGAGAAAAGAAGACTGAGGGAAAATATGATCACACTCTTCAGATATTTGAAAGGTTGTCATACAGAGGAGGGGCAGGATCCGTTCTTGATCATTTCAGAGTGCAGGACACTTAATAATGGGCTCAAGCTACAGGGAGCCAGATTTCGGTTGATTATCAGGAAAAACCTCTTAACAATTAGAGCAGTATGACAGTGGAACCAATTACCTCAGGAGGTAGTGAGCACTCCAACACTGGAGACATTCAAGATAAAATGAGCCATCTATCATATCTAGTTTGATTTGGATTTCCGCACTGAGCAGGGGGGTTGAACTTGACAGCCTTATAAGCCCTTTCCATCTCCCTCATTCTATTATTCTATAATGTGTTTGAAGCCAAGTCTGCTGTCCTTTGAGGATGCCTTTGGACTGTTTGTTTGTTTGTTTGTTTGTTTGTTTGTTTGTTTGTTTGTTTATTTGATTTATACCCCGCCTATCTGGTCCGAAAGGACCACTCTAGGCGGCTAACAACCATAAAATAATACAAAACAATAGTTTAAATGGTTGTGTGTCTCTGTATTTTAAATACCTGGCGTAGCCTCCTTGCAGTACTGTGCCACTTCAGAAGGCACTTAAGTAGCAGCATTTCTCAACATTTGTTTTACATTTACAAATCCATCACCTAAGGAAGAGGGCTAGGTGAGAGACTTTCTCTGTGCCATACATTTACTGCTTCCTTGTTTCCAAGTCAGACAAACATTGTGATTTAATTCTTCGTGTGTTGGGCTAAGGCTAGAAAGCTCATTCCAGTCACAAATTCTCAACATACTCCTTGAAGCGGTGATGAAGATTTTTTTTTAAAAAAAAGGACATAGAACTATATACACCACCCTCCTTGAGCTCCTTGAAAGGAGAATGATGTCATGAATGGAAAAAAAATGAATGAAAAAATTAGATGAAATACTTATATGCCACTTTTCTGCCATAATGACTGGAATCCAGTTCGCCATGGGGTAGTCTAAAGGTACATCAGTGTAACTTTGCCACATATTACACCCAGGCAAAGCAGTTTGCACAATTTCGTTGCACAATTGGACTCACAGTTCCTCCTGTGACCTGTTACACAATGTAGTGATGGAAATGCTTCATGCCTAGCACTTCCACCTTGGTGCTGTTGTAGCTACTCCAGGCATAATGTTAAGTTGCACTCATGCAGCTATGTAACAGGATTCCAGCTAATGTTTCGTACTAGTTTTGTCTCACAGTGAGTTTGAGATGACAGGGGAAGCTTCATGCAGGATATTTTCTATCTTCATTCAGTCATGCAATCTAGAGAGATTGTAGCACATGCCTTTTTTTTTTCTTTTCCTAAAGCTGAAATGGATGTGGCACAGACATAGTGTGATATCCTGCCCTCATGCATAGATGTTTGTGTGTCATCTCTAAGAACATGCAACATGCTCTGAATAGTCCTCATGGTCCCCCCTTCCTGGCTGTGTGCATTCTCTACACATGTTGCTGCGGTTCCATCACAGCAAGTGCAGACTGCATGCTTGGTGGAGGAATGTCTCTGAAAGAGGAAAGCAGGTCTGCTTAGCCACAGTCAGCATTCAGGGCCAAGCAGAAACCTTCTTCTGCTCTGCTCTGCTCTGCTCCAGGAAGAGGCAGTGAGATACTGCCTGTCTCATTCCCTCTGCATTCATTTTTTCCTGCAGCTTCTCTACCTTCCTCCACCCTGGGGTCAATGCAAGTCAGTGACAATGGAGTCAGAATTCTACGATACCTACAGCATCACAGCTTGCCGCATAGATTGTGAGACTCGCTACTTGGTGGAGAACTGCAACTGTCGCATGGTGCACATGCCTGGTAAGAAAGAAGGGTAGAGCTGGTAGCCCTGGCAAGTCTAGAACCAGAAGCGTCTAGCAGGAGATGTTCAGAAACAAGTCTTAACTAAAGAGACATCCTTTAGAGTGTGGGAATTTACATATGAAAGTACATTTCATTATGTCCTATTAAAACAAATTAGGAGAATGTTCACCCTCCTAGGGGCCCCCCCACATTGTTTGTGGCTGTTGTCTCACCTATTCACTGCTGCTGCTGCCGAACCGATTTGCTCCTCTGACTTCAATAGGATAGTCTTCTTCACTTGGTTAATCCTAGCCAATCAGGGATTACACAGTTAACACCACAGTGCCTAGCAGATCATCTGATTTTGGTCACCTCTGATACCACTGAACACAGTGCAATCTCCCTGGAAGACCAGTGTTTCCTGGAACGTTACATGAACCATCCCAACCAACTGGAAACCAAAGCAAACCATTGTGTCAGGAAACTGGCTTCCTGTCTATGGTCCTAAATTCAAAGACATTATTGCTGCATAAGAGTGCAGCAGTGATCTTGTGCTAGGAGAGCAAATCAACATTCAATAATGCAAACCCCTACAAACTAGCTTAGAAAGAACCCCCCAACACAGAGTGAAATCTTGCCATTGGCAAGTCCATAAAGGCAGGGGCTTGGGACCAGGATCCAAATCCCAAATTGTTAGTAGTGGAAGGGGAGTGGTTATCACTGCAAATACAGTTATTTTACTGAGCAGCAGAGCAAATCAACATTCTACACAGCAATTCTAAACATGGGGTCTGCCTAAACAAATATATATATATATATAACTCTGAAACTGTACTTTGGATCAGCGCTAAATGATATAACAGATATATTGCTCTTTGTGCTGAATTTTAGGATGTTTGGGCAAAGGGTGTTCGAGTTATGATTTTAAAAAAAAGGATCCAGGCTACAAGGGTTGTAATGTTTATCCTCAAAAAAGGCATTTCAAAGGGGAAAGCCAGCTATTTTGTTATAAACCGAACATGTGAGGTATAGGCTAGCCAGCAGGAGCTTCACAAAATGAAATATTGTATGCATTCATAACTGGGAGGAAGAGAGATTTAGAGAGCAAGCTGACAGAAACAGATGGTAAAGACTGGCTTTCTTTAAAGAGAAAAAAACAGTTTTGCTTTTAAAAAGTAACAGAGTGACTGTCCTTCAGAAAGGGAGATATTTTGCCATCTTCAGTCAACATTCTCTCAGGGTTTCTGAGACTAAACAGTCTCCTCACATGTGATGACGCCCGTGTCAGCAGTCAAGATGGTCTAATTCAGGATTCCCTCTTGTGCTCAGTATGAATCACAAAGAGACACCCAAGCAGGGGAAAATTCTAGAACCTGACTCCTTTTTTCATCAGTTAACCCCTTCTCACACAAACACAAACCAGTTGTCAGGGCTGTTTTTCAACAAGCTCTTTTGGTATCTAAATGCCTAGGAAAAATGGTAGCGAGCACAAGACAGTTATACTTAGACTATCTTGACTGTTGGCATGGGTGACATCAACATTCAGGCTACTCTTTGCAATGTAATATTTGACATATTTTCCCCTGCTGGCAACGTGGGTAGAATATTGTGCAGCAACAGGCCCATTTCCTGGCATTTTGAATTGTGAATACAGAAGCACAATATCCCACATTCATAAACCAGAGCTTTTTTTGAAGAATTGAATCCAATTTTGAGTGAGCTTGCTGCTTTCTGGTTAGATGAATGTTTTCATTTCTTTTTTTTTCCAAAGCACCCACCAGACTTTATCAGAAGGTGTCTGGTGGGAAGAGAGTTTTCAGTGCTGCTGCAAATGTTCATGAAAATTCTAAAAGTGCCCTTTCTTTCCACTCTTCCCTAATTATAACTTTCTGTAATTATTGCTATTCCCCTCTTTATTACTAGTGCATAAATTAAAAGATCCTAGGGCTTCCTTAAACAACCCACCCTAGTTTATTGCTCAGTCTTTCATGTCAAGGGGAAAAAAATCTTTTCAAGGGATGTAATTAGCATAATTAAAACAAGGCAATGAATTAATTGTTCTAGTCAGCGGCATCTCCTGGAGAGAAGACGCTAGCCAGAAGAATAGCTCAGATGTACAGACGAGGAGGGGGAAGAGACGACGCATTTCAAAAGAACATTGAACCTCTTAGCTGGTATCCAGGCTACTGGGAAATAATATGGAAACAGGATTCAGAGTGAATGACAGCTAAGATAGGATGAGCAGAGATAGTAGCAGAGATTGGGAGCCATCTGTGTCTATATAATGGCTGCTTTGATTTTGCTTTATCAAGTCTCTGTCTTACATGAGTTCTGTGAGCCCTAGAAGGATTGGGGAACACAAAGAAAATGGCAGATCCAATGACTTTGTTTCTCAAGCTGCATGGTTTTAATTTGCTAGAGTATTTACACCGGCTTAAAGAACCAGGGTGCACCTACAGTGAGCAATGCTTAGGACCAGTCTTTATGACCAGGAGCATCAAATTATGAAGCAGAGAAGGTAACACATGCTCCTCAGGCTCTATGTGGGACAGCCACCTCTGCTTTGTTGGCGCTACCACACATATTCCCTGATTCCCAAATTGGTAGCTAGATGTTATTGGTTCTGTAAGGACAATGCCCTCCATCCCTTCCATCTTATAGCATGGGTCATCATGGAGACTATGCACACACCTTGTTCCAAAGGAGAAGTATTTGGGGGGGGGGTGTTTTGGTGCCACAACAGCAGTGCTGTACTGCTCCCCAGTGGATTCAGGAGATACCAGCATATCTGTCCTCTCCCCAAGCCCTCAGAGGTTGCTAGACTGCTGTGCTTTAGGAGGGAGACCTGATATTTGAATGCTCCCTTTCAAACGGAAAAGGGAAACTTGAAAAAACTCATGTGTCAAGAAAAGGGCTCCGTTCCGCTTTCTCCTCCATGTTGCCTTCTTCACATGTGACGGCGGCTGTCCTCACTGGAATGAGGAGTGCTTTGTCTCTAGGGGTTTTGCAGACTCCAGCCCTAAAAGCTGACCCAGGAGTGTAAGATTGTGAATTTGACATTTGGACAGGGTCAGCCCGAGGCATTTTGCCACTGTGGGCAAAATAGCAAGTAATGCCTCTGCTACATCCATCAAGGGGTATAGTACCCAAACCAGTCAAATTATTTTGGTGTAAATGCAGAAGAATCACTCAAACAACTCTTCCTATCCCTAGCAGGGGTTGCTTTTTTAATTTAACTGCTCTCAATTTGCTGTCCTCTCATGACATCCAAAATCTGCTGCCTGAGGTAGCTTGCCTTACCATGGCTAATGGCAGAGCCACCCAGCTTCTGGAGAGTCAATCTAAGTGTGTTTTTCTGAGGCGATATAGATGCTTCTGTACTGAAAGGCCACTTGAGCACAGCAAGAGGCTTCTCGATTCTTCAGCCAAAAAAAAGACATGACAAGATTAATCAACTAGGCATCTTAACCAAAGAAATTTCACCTCTAAAAATGCACAATCTGCCAACAGAGGCAGACAAAATGATGAAACACTGGCTGAGAGAGAAGTGTAAGCATAAAGTTAAGGACTGCTTAATGCACAGTTTAACAACCAGTTTAAAGTGTGGGCTTTCAATTCCTCTTATAATTTATAAATTGTATTTGTTAAAAGCCTCATTAAATAGATTTCTCTAGCTACTGTACAATGCAATTTAAAATGTAGTACTAACATAATGGCAACACAACAAGACTGCAGTAAAAACAGTGGAATGCAGCCCAGCAGAAAAGCATGAAGATATGTATTGACATAACATGATAAAATATAATAGAAAAACAAACCGTAAAACCACCATCAAGCACGAGAGCGAAAGCCGTGAGGACTAAGGGAACAAATTAGGTTTCTTTTAAATTAGAAAAGCAATTTGAATGCCTGTCAGAATAGAAACATCTTGCCTTGAAATCAAAAATATAGCAGTGTGTGTGCAAGTTTAGTTTCCTCAGCTGGAAAATCCCTCAGGGGTCCCTAAAATCCATCAGCTATCCTAATCAGCAGAGAGGGGCACCCATGGTTGAACTAGATCTTGACAGGCATTGATTTTACCATGATAAGAGATAGATCATCCCTACATCACCTCCACCTTCAGGCTATAATCCTGCTGTCCAGTAGAGATTAGCAAGGTGGGTGGGGTGGGGGTGGGGGGGTTTGTATGATGGAGCAGTTCTGTGTTGGGAACGCTCTTGTGTTGTACATGAGGTTGTGAATGGCCATGGATGAACATGGATATTGGGGTACTTCATGGCACAGGATCAAGGCCTCTTCTGTTAGCTTTATTTATGAAATAGGAAGTCACGTCTGTATTAACAAATAACTGTACAAGACAAATAGCAGTGGGTCTTGCAGAATTATGCATATTATATCTCTCCAGGATAAATTTCACTAGCTGTTTATTTGAATGATCAAAACAGATTCTCTTCCTAGCCTTCCAGATCTCTTGCATGGCCATTATTTTTCTTTTTTATTTCCTTGCAGGTGATGCTCCTTATTGCACCCCTGAGCAGTACAAGGAATGTGCGGATCCTGCCCTTGGTAAGTACTAATAAGTTGCTTTGGTATATTATGCCCCAGTTCCAGCTCATCCCACTCTCTTTCTCCAGGATTAATGGGGTGATAGCCAAGGATGTCCACAGTAAAGGCATAAACAAGACAGCTATTTCATGTTGTTTGGCCCAGTATCCAGTTGTCAGACCTATACCACCTTCAGACAGAAAATTTGCATTACTAGATCAGCCCAGAGTCCACCTTCAAGATCTGGTAAATTTCCCTCAAATACAAGAAGCGTTATCACATGCAAGAAGGCAAAGACTAGTTCTCACCTACTTGGCTGGTTTAACTTGCAGAAAGATAGATTTCTGTTGAGCATTAAGAGTCATTGCTTAGATGTCTCTCATTGCTCACAAATAAGACTTAACAAACATAGATCTCTCCTGTTATTTGCTCCCAGCAGCTCCTGGAAACAAATGAGATCTACATTGTATTTTAGAACATGGAATACTTAGCTATCATGGCTGCCACCTATTGATCCTCTGTGAATTTACGGATTTTTTAAAATTGTCTGAAAAAGCCATCACAGCATCTACTGGCAACTTAAGTTTCATAATCACAGCTTGGAAAAAAGATTCTTGGACTAAAACTCCCAGGCCGGAGCCTAACTGCTTAGTTAAGCCAGCATTAAGTGCAATGGTGGCGCTGCGGCCTAAACCGCAGAAACCTGTGCTGCAGGGTCAGCAGACCAAGCAGTTGTAAAATCGAATCCACAGACGGAGTGAGCTCCCGTCGCTTGTCCCAGCTCCCGCCAACCTAGCGGTTCGAAAGCATGCAAATGCGAGTAGATTAATAGGAATCACCTCGGTGGGAAGGTAAAACGGCATTCCGTATCTAAGTCGCACTGGCCATGTGACCACGGAAGATTGTCTTCGGACAAACGCTGGCTCTATGGCTTGGAAATGGGGATGAGCACCGCCCCCTAGAGTCGAACACGACTGGACAAAAATTGGCAAGGGGAACCTTTACCTTTACCTAAGTGCAATGGTATAAATCACAGCAGCAAATTGCCATTGGTCAGCAAGCTGCTGCTTGGATCCCTTGTCATATACCAACTCTTGCATGCAGCAAGGGACAATAACAGTGACTTGTTAACGATCCGCAACTCATTCTTGCAGTTTATGCCACTACACTTATGCCAGCATCACAACCACAATCCACGTGCCCTAAGGAAAGGATTGTTCATATCTCTTCCCACAAAAAAGGAAGGAAAGATTGAACTGCGTCTTAAATATACACCCTTGTGGCTTCTCCTTTTCCTCCTTGTCCCCAGACTTTTTGGTGGAGAGAGATAGTGAGTTCTGTGTGTGTGAGATGCCTTGCAATGTCACTCGGTATGGAAAGGAGCTGTCCATGGTCAAAATCCCCAGCAAGGCATCCGCCAAATACTTGGCCAAGAAGTACAACAAGAGCGAGCAGTATATTGGGTGAGTATTTCTGCCTATTCCCTCAGACACCTATTCCCTCTCCACCCAGCTTTGCTATTTCTCTTCCTTTCCTTTCAGCACCCACAACCAACCAACATCAAGCCAAGCAGGGCGTGGCTGCTGGCAGTTGTTAGAAATCCTGTTGCATAGTGTAGTAAGTCATAATTAGAGTACGCCCATTTGAATCAATGAAACTTACAAAAGGGTTGAGTTACCAAATCCCTACCACTTCGGTGGGCCTACTCTAGCACTTACTCTGCAAAGCAACAAGATTTCAGCTAATGCAAGAGAAAGGACGATGGCTTCCTTAGAAAGGAAGCCCTTTCTAGGCCTTTGTTTCTAGGAGGCTCAAATGGCCAACTAGCGTGAGCAGCACAACCATCCCAGAACTTGAAAACCTCTTTATCCTCACCCAGTGGAAGACACTTTAAAAGGCAGTTTTGTGACTCACCTCACAGGAATGGAAGTGAACTCATTGTGGAGGAGTCTTTTCTGGCTCTAGTCCTGGCCACTGCTGTCCTGAGATTAAGGATGTAACCAGTGTTTGCAAATTTTCTGGTGTCAATACATTGGGACAGCCCACCCCCCAAAAAAAAAGTTGGAGATTTTTAATTTTTTTATTATTTATTTATCTATTTATTTATTTTGCTTCTGCACAAGAGAAGGGGGGGAAGCCAGCACTTTTTCCCCTTTTCATTAGTATTAGGAAAAATAAATGGGGTAGGTAGAGTGTGGTGGGTATTTTGGTCAAGAACTTGTATTTTATGTTATAAAAATCTTGTGTTTTGTGTAAAAGATGGGGGGTTGTGTAAAATTCATGTCTTCTGAGCAAATACAACTTTTTTGTTTTTTAAAAAAGGCTAGAAATCTGAAAAAATAGAAAGATTATTTAAAAAATTATAGATCATGAAAACTGCCAAAAATGACTCCTCTTTTAACCTTGCTAGTTGTAGGAGAGGGACATGTTTTTTTTGGTCTGATCTGCAAAAATAACGTAAGTGCATCTGATATTTAGAAAGAAATTATCCCACCCCTCCTCTGATAACTCCACAAGCAGCTGCATGGGTCTCTTTGGGATGTGACATCCACCCTTATCATTTCTGCTATGGCCCCAGGGTTTCCAGAGCCCTAGGCTGACAGTACAGTACCTATATCCCCAGATCTCGGTTCCACAAGTGCCCTTGCCAGTGTTGGGCATGTATCCCTAGAGCTAGTGGTGGACAGGTTCATTGGTCGATACACACTTTTGCCCTCCCTGTCACCCCTTTTCTTCTGTGCAGGGAGAACATCCTTGTATTGGACATTTTCTTTGAAGCATTGAACTATGAGACCATCGAGCAGAAGAAAGCTTATGAAGTGGCTGGACTTCTGGGTGAGAGAATGTGTTTGGCCACCAGCCAGAGGGGATCCTGCATGTCTCTAACCTTGTCCAGGATGGTGCCCTTTACCCTGATCCTAGTGCCCCCATGAAACTAACAGAACACAGACCTTAGCAGGGTTGTGTGTGTTGTGTAGTATAGTTCTATGGTATACCTGAGAAGAGCAAGGATCTGTGTCTAGATTCAAGTGTAGAATGCAGTAGTCTGGTAATCCCAGCTTCCATTTCTACAGAAGGAGGGAAGGAAAGAGGGAGGGTTGCAAAGACAGATGTCAGCTATATTTGATGAAATCAGAAACTGTGGTGGACAGAAGAATGGCGGCTGAATAGGATTTGCAGTGTTCAGGAGGCAGGGCTCCTAAGACTTGGATAGCTATCACTCCTCATAAATATCAGAACAAAAAAAATTACAATAGTAAGAAAATAGATACACATTACAGAAGCGAGCTGTGGTGGTGGTGGTGAGTTGGTCCAAATTATTATCTTGTTAAGGGCAGAAGACAAACAGCCCTGTATGTAGTCCGTGGCTGGCGACGCCTAAGACAAGCTCAAAGGCAAAGTCATGAAACAGGGTTGTAGCATAGGCATTAACAGATAGCTGATTTAAGACACACACAAAGAGGGTGGCCAGCAGGTGGTTCTAAAAATCTAACCAGTGAGTGGAGGCAAGGATGGCTTTTTAATGACAGGTGAAGGGCCTGGGCGAGCAAGAGACCTGGCAAGGCACATGTTCTCATGGCAGGGACCAGAGACTTGGGCCCTCAGATCTTCTTGGAACATAACTCACATTATGCCCTGCCAACATCGCAGCCTGGGATTGATGCCAACGGGGTAGCGATCCAACAAAACTGGGGACTGATGGTTAAGAAAGGCTGGCAGTGAAACAGGCTAGGGGGAGGTGGTCCGAACAAATGATAAAAATGCTCCCAAACATCTGCTTTGTTCATCCTTCAGCCAAAAATACTGGATGGTCAAGGGAGATACAATACCTGATATTTGGCAGGTCTAATATCTCCAGATCTCAAAGGATTAAATCATCATGCCTCCCACCCTCTCTATATTGATTTAGATATCATTGGGTCACCCCATTCTGGAGACTTCAACTGGTGAAGTAGGAACCAGAGAGGAAAATGTCATATCTCAGTGCCTTGCTATTGTTCCCGTACTCTCTTGTCTACAGGTGACATTGGGGGACAGATGGGACTCTTCATTGGAGCTAGTATATTAACTGTACTTGAGCTATTTGACTACGCTTATGAGGTGAGTGTCAGTCTCAGGAACCTGCACAAGAAAGGCGGCATAGATTTGTTTGTGGTCTAGGAGGGAATGTTTCGAGGACAGGGGAGGCCTGAAGTAGGCAGGGCCCGCCTACCTTTGTCAGCCACCTGTGTGCTTGGGGCAGGGAGGGGCACTCTCCAAAGAGAGCCATGTGGGGAGAGGCTCTGGGTTCTCGGTGCAAAGGAAGGATGGAGGATAGGTGTCAGAATAAATGATGGCAGGAGAAGAATGGCCCTTCTTCACACATACCACACCAAGGTGCAAATCGACCCTCTTGGGGGGGGGCTGGTGTGATAATGCAATGATATAAGACTATAAGTTCGCATCCTAACAATAGTTGCAGCCTTTTAACTGCTAACACTGAAGTTACTTTAAAATAATGTAGAGATCTTGTGACATTTCCAGTAGCCCTTGGGAATGTTACCTGTTGGATTACAACTCCCCGAATACCTCAGCTCGTGTGGCTCCCAACTACCCTCTTAGGATTCTGTAAATTATAGTCCCAAAAACGTAACCTTGTCATGTTGTTGTTTAATGTTAATGATTTGAGGCTGAGCTCCTGACAAGCCCATGCCGTCCATCGCCATGACTTATGTGATTTCACTTAATTTGGAGTAAAATGCCAATAGGATTCTGGCCAATGTTTCACAAAGTGTGCGGTTTGACCTTTGGAGACTTTGTTTAACACCATATTTATCGATTGGCTCGATCCCTTTTTTTTCAAAGTGCTGTGATTCAGTTGCTTGGCATTTCACTCAAGGGGAAAATGCACAGGCACACTTTTCATGGACGTTTTGATAACCAGGTTGAATGGGAGGATGCTGAATAGTTTTACCATGTCATGGCCCCATCAACCAAGAAAGATTTGCTGCAAACAGCCAAGATTCCCTCTTTCTTCATCTCTAGGTGATTAAATTTCGCCTCTGTCGCCGTGCCAAGTGCCAGAAGAAACACAAAGGAAACAACAGCGACAAGGGTGTAGCTCTAAGCCTGGATGATGTGAAGCGCCACGTGAGTGTCTGGGCTTCATCATGGAATGTCTTCCCTTGTTGCAGGGAACCACCCACCTACCCACCCACACCTTGGCATCTGCACTCCATGCCCTAGTTCCTTTCAATAATACCATCTGTTTCATACCACTGTCTCCACTTTTCTGAACAAATCACAAGGATTGCATCTTGGTGCAGGGCCAATCTTTGGGCAAAATGAGGTGGGTGCCTCCGATCATTGGCTCGGGGTGTCAAAAAAATGAGCAGCAAATTGTTAGTGGTTTTTGTTTGTTTTTTAACTGCCAGGGAAAGGGAGAGGTTCTTGTCAGATCTTCAGCTCCAAATGTCAAAAGCAAAAGCAAAACAAAAGAGAAAAACAAAACCCTGCACTGGCTTCAGTATGGTAGCCAAATAAAAAAGGGATCAGGGCTCTTGAACCTTTGAGAAGTTGCGTGCAAGAGGGTAAGTCAGCAGGTGAAGCTCAGAAGGCAAGCCGCACCTGTTCAACGTAATGATTGAAGCAGGAGCAAGCAACTTTCAAGGATCACAGGGCCCTTCCCTTGGATGTAGGAGAGTCACAACCTCCCCCTGGTAAACCCAACCCCCCAAAGTAACTCCCCAAAATGGAAAGAAAGCAAATAATCCACCCACCCAGTGCAAGACTTGCTTTCAGTGTAGATGGGCCCTAACAGTAGGTTCAAAAAGTATCTCGTAGCTACTTCAAAGATTGCCTCATGTTGAAGTAGTCAAGAGGGAATTGCCCCCTGCACTCTTCAGCTTCACAGTGGACACTCAGTTCTGGACACCACACTTTAAAAAAAATGCCAAAAACTGGAACAAGTTCAGAGGAGGGCAACAAGGATGACCAGGGAACTGAAAAACAATCCCTATGAAGAAAGACTGAAAGAAATGGGCATGTTTAGCCTTGAAAACAGAAGACTGAGGGGATATATAACAGCACTTTTCAAATACTTGAAAGGTAGTCATACAGAGGAGGGGTAGGATCTGTTCTTGATCATCCCAGAGTACAGGACACATAGTGGCTTGAGCTACAGAAAACCAGATTTATGCTGAATATTAGGGGGAAAAAACCTCTTAACTGTTTGAGCAGTACAACAGTGGAACTGAGTACCTCAAGAGGTGGTGAAAACTCCAACGCTGGAGGCATTCAAGGGAAAATTGGACAATTATTTGTCAGATCTACTTTGATTTGGATTCCTGCATTGAAGAGGGGGTTGGGCTCGATGGCTTTGTAATCCCCTTCCAACTCAGTTATTCTATGATTCTATGATGAAATCAAGCATTACTCACTTGGAAGTCTAAGGAAGTGAAAGGGTGGTAATGCTGGGCTTATGTGCTTCGTGTGAGGCTAAAAATGTCTATCTCCCCATGCAGACGTAGGAACCAGATGGCAAGCTTTTAAGCAGCTATTCCATTATTTGTTGTGATTATTTTATGTGTATATATCATCAACAGGTGACATTCAAACACACAGTAGCAGGATCTCTTACATCATAGGAGATTGCTCAAATAAGAAGCAGAGATAAAAACAACAGATGCAGAATGACAGCCATTGGCCCCTCCTTCGTTTTGCATTCATCTAGACTCCCCTCCCTTATTCTTCCCTGCCTCTAGGGAATTTTCAAGAGCTTCATTAGCTACCAGCCCGTTTCTGGCCACAATTCAAAGTGCTAATTATAATCTATAAAATGCTGTATGCCATCTGAAAGAGTGTATCCTCCCATACAGGCCTACTGGCGCACTGATATCTTTAGGAGGGGCCATTATCTCATCCCCACCACCTAGAGTGTATCCTCCCATACAGGCCTACTGGGGCACTGATATCTTTGGAGGGGCCATTATCTCAGCCCCACCACCTTCTACATCTTGTTTGGTGAGAATGGGAAATCAGGCCTTCTCCGCTGCTGCTTCCATGCTTTGACACTCCCTGTTAAGGGATGCTAAGGTCACCTGCTTCTCATCATCCTTCTTCCGACAGGCCTGTTTTATTCAGGCATGCCTTCACCAACATATAGCCTAATCTCAAGGGGTCTGAGACTAGGTGGGCTGAGATTCTTGTATTACCAAGAGAAGTCTTTTAGCTGTTCCAAAATATTTTAATCCAAATTGTGTTTATTATCCAGCATTCTATTGTTAGTCGCAACTAAGAGCCATTGAATCACCTACTGAACAATAAGTCAACACCTATATAAATCCAACTGAGTCTGTTCTAAGTGGGGCTTGCAATAGGAAACTGGTCAATGGGTCTAATTATAATTTCATATATGAATTTATTGTGGTTTCATTGTACTGTTCATAGCAGATAACAGTAATTATTTTTACAAAATAACTCACAATTTGCTGCCTTTCCACAATACTTCAGATCGGCTGCCTGTGTCCACTACCTCAGTATGTCTTAAAGGCAAAGTTGTCCCAGAGCCAGAATCTTAATGAATCTGACTCCCTAGTCTCCGTAACTGAATGATAATCCCTTGCCCTCTATATCCACTGAAAGGCATCTCCCAAATATTACTTTCTGCTCTTCAAAACCCATTGCCAACCATCTTGTTCATTTCATCTCACACATCCTTGTTCCCTGGCAGTGACTGTATATCTCCACAGAACCCCTTATACAGTATTCCCTTCCATGGCTAAACACTCTAGGAATACCCTGTCCTTCTGCCAGCAGTAGCGTCACGTAAGGTAAGCCAAAGCCAGTAAAGTTTTCAATGAGGGAAAAGTGATAGCATTATAGCTTTATATAAAGGTACAAGAGAAAGATGGAGGCAGCAAAAGTTTCTGGAGTATCACCACCCATCTTCCAGGCCTGCCTTGAGTGAAATGAGACCTTGTGTCCCTCCAGAGCCACCTCAGACTTGACAGCAAGGCGCCCAGCGAGGTGCTGGGATAAGGAAGGGGCTATTATTCCTCATTCAGAGTCAAGAGTAGAGCCCAAAAGGCTTGAGAGCTTCTTCAGTGCGTGGACCATGTTCCTTCCATCTGCCTGAGGGGAATTATCTGACCCCCCCTCTGGTTTATGCTTTGTTTATCATGCTGACTTCATGGCTACTGCCCGCCTGTGCTGATGTTGCTGTCTTCTTTCCTTCTGCTACTTCCTAGAATCCATGCGAGAATATCCGAGGCCACCCAGCAGGCATGACGTACACAGCCAACATCCTACCTCACCACCCAGCCCGGGGAACCTTCGAGGACTTTACCTGCTAACTGACGACTGGATGTACCACTAACACTACCAAAGGGAAGGGCCCATGCTGAGCAGCCCTGGCCCAGCCCAGCCCATGAACCTGCCAACTGACTTACCAGGGCCTCTAGCTCAGACTCCAGGGGGAGGCCACTCCCTCCTCATCCACCCGCCCCAGGCCAAGGCAGTGATACGCACACACACATGGAGCAAGCGCTGGACCAGGAACGGGGAATGGGGGAGGGGGAGGGTCTGTGCTGCCAGGCTGGTTCCAGTTTCCGCTCTTGTCCCAGTGATGCTCCCTGGACTTTTAACTCAACAGAAGAGCTGCCAGGAGAACTTTCCACCATGTCAGGTGGAGGCCAGAGTGCACCTGCTCCAGTCCTCAGACACAGAGAAGTCTTGACTGTTTCTTTGCTCCTCCTCCTGTCTCCATCCGGCTCCTTTGCCCACAGCAAGCCTTGTGTGAGGGCAGCCATCTTGTGCAAAGGCCTCGCTCTTTTAATCTTAATGCCAAGAAGAACCTTAAGGAGTACCAGCCAGGCTGTTCCCCATGCTGTTCCATTTGTAAAGGTCAATTAGGTGCTGCATCAGTTTCTTTCCCGGCTCCCAACCTTGTTGTATTTTGGGGGCCACTTCCAAGGTTTTCCCTGTAGCAAGACTGTGACTGAACTGTGAAGGCCACTTAAATAGGACAGGTCATCATCTCATGGTTTCATCCAGGTAACAGGTTCTCATTTGGTCCCATGGACTTTGCTCTGACTCCAAACCTTGTCTTGCTTCCCTCACCACACATACCATCCCCTACCCCCAACAAGAGCGAAACAAGTGGGTGATGACGGATGAGTTGTTCCAAAATTTAAAGCACTTCCATTGTCTGTGCATGTTCTTAGCAGTTACATGAAAATACCTGAGTATTAAGGTTAAGAGAAAAGTTTGCCATTTTTTTTTCAGAATCCTCAACTGGATATAACACTGGCTTATTTCAAAACAGGATTTACTTCAGGGTTCTGCAACTGCTGGAAAAAAGGAAAAAGAAACCTGCTGTGTTTCACCTTGAATTTTGTCTTCATCTCTCACAACAGCGTGGCAACATTTAGTCCAATCCTCCAGACAGAATGCCCCGCCATTCCTTTGGCAGTGCAGAAGTATAGGGGTGACCCATATGTTTATGTCTGCTGGCCTCTGTGCCAAAGGCTTGAAAGTACAGAGAAAGCGACAGGCAAGTCAAAATGCTGAGAATTGTGCTTCAGAGTAATGCAGACAATGCGTTCCCCTGGCAGGCACAGCCCATGCCACCTTTCAGGGATCAGTTTGCTGGAGATGATTAGGGAGGGGTGTGCGATTAGCAAAGCAAAGAGGGCCTCTAGGGCAAATGCAATGGGAATTAGTGTACAATGTTTCACTTTTGTGCATCATCAACAAGAGACCAAAATTAAAGAGCAGCTCAGGGAAGTGTCTGTCTCGGATGTCTTCATCAGAAAGGCCTGCTGATTTCACAACTCAAAAAAAAAATTCCGAAGTCCTGTTTTGCAGCATCCACTTTCCAACCTGTCTGCAACACGGGGAGATGACCAAAGTGGCTGTGGAGCTCCTAGTAACTCTGTTAATAGTCAAGCATGACTACTGGGGGGGGGCAGAGGGGCAGGGTGCTTCCTTTGGAAGGGAGCTTTCCTAAGCTGGGAGCTGAAAGTGTTGAATGAAGCCATGTATTGGAGAGGGTGAACTTCCTTTCGTAATACTTCTTTCTTGCTCTGCTATCTTGCATCTTATTCCCTGGGCCCAAACAAAGCAAGACAGAGAAGATGATTGTTATGACAAATGGAGGAAGTGAACTCTCCCAGCAAAGAACAAATTTCTGCTTTTAACTCTTACCCTTAGATAAACAATGTTTAAAGCCACTCCAAAAAAAGAGTACAGACATATTCTGTGGGGAGTCCAACCATACAGCCTAATGAAGGGCGTAATGCCATCACTGGTGAGAGTTTTGCGCATGTTTCCCTCAAAATTTTGCATTCAGGTACAACTTGATGAGGTTGGGGTCAGAGTTGTCTCCTTCCCACCCTACTGCTTTGGTCTGGCGGTGATGTGTTCCCCTGCTCAATATTTGGTGGCTCCACTAGGGTTGGCTCATAGGCTGAGCAGCCCAGGGCACTGGGACCACTCAGGTTATAACAAACACTAGCAGGTTGAAGAGGAGGAAGCATCAGCCGCCAGCAAGTGAGTCTCTATTATGTGGCTCATTTTGCTGGTGTCGGTTAATGTCCTGCCAAGTGGCAGGGATATGAGACTTTTGCTCCCTCCATGCCTTATGAACCTACACGTGTCAGGGGAGGAAGGAACTGTAGACCTTCTTATTAGATTAATGTTAAGGGCTGAAGAAGAAACAGACCCCCCTACAAAATCCCTACAGCCCCAGAGGAATCACAGGTCTTGATGGCACATAAAGCCTATGACTAAAACTGTCTCTTGGACTCTCCTTGCTTGAAGGTTTGAAGCCCGTTCGGGCAAGCGCCTTGCCAGGGCACCCCCACACTGGTTGTCTTTATTTTTTTCAACGTTGAGAAGGCATCGGCCTCCTTCCAGTTGAGGCCCTACAGCATCTTGTGCCCACTGTTGTCTTTGCCCCCATCCAGGCTCTTCACCCATCAATATCCATACGCCTACCTACGCTGCATGTGCAGCACCTAAGGCCAAAGTTCTCCCTGTCTTTAAGAGCTTCCGCCGTACAATCTCATCATCTTTATTTTGATCCTTATCAGTCTAGGCTAGTTTGCTGTAAGCAGGGGAGTGGTTGGCATTTGATCTCCTGAGGGCAAGAAAGGCCTGTTTCCCCAAAGAGGCTGCAACTCGGCCGTGACACGTTTTCCTGTGGACATTTGTGGACAGGCTTCTTTGCTCTGAGGATTTTTTCTTTTAAATGTACTTTTCATTTTGTTTCGATTTGGTGAGTTCTACTTGAAAGCTTTTGAAGATAGGGCTCAGATTTGACCTTTCCCCTGCATCTGTTTGTCCATTTTTACTACTTCATGCTCATTTTGTATTTCTTATATATAAAATATGATATATATTATTATATATATGTACATATATATATATAGATATATACATACATACATCACTATATGCTCAATACCAGTGTATATACCCATCTAGTAGAATTGAAAGCCTTGATATTGTGCCATTATTATTATTATTATTATTTTTCCAGCTACCACTCTCTGAATGCCTTCAAGTGTATAAAGTGTTGAATTCTCTCTGGTATCTGTACTATGTACACATTTTCATAGGAAGCACAAGAAGATGACAAATGCATTGTATATCAAAACTTGCTCCTCTTAACAATGATATAAAGGATGATCTCAACCATGGAGACTTGGCCTTTTTTTCTCTTTGCTGCAGAAGCAAATCACGATAAGCAATGTTCCTTCAATTAATTTGCTTTACAGTGGCAGCACCATAGTAACAAGGGCTGCTTGTCGTTGCTGGCAGTAATCATTCATACCTTGCAAAGGCCAATACATTAACAGTGGCAGCTACACCCACAGGTGAAGGGGCCTTTAAATTTGGAAGAAGCAAGATGTGCAAATAAATGCAAACTGATTCCCATTAGGATCAGCCCTATCCTAAAACAGAAGAGACACCTCTGGTAGAAGATCCCTGGGTCTCTCAAATGAGTAGGCAGTTACTTGCCATATTTGTATTGTGACTACATACAGTAGCACAAAAGTAAAGGTAAAGGAAAAACAAACTTGGGGTTTCCTCCCTTGAGTGCCACACGAACGTGACTGGCCTTAGATACGATGCTCCTTGATTTGGGCTGGAGGGAAGCAATACTGCCTGCACTTTCTCAAGGACCAAAATCTCATGGGTCGTCCCTGCTGTCATTGACACTGGTTTCTCTGCCCTATGCACAAAGTATGGGTCATAGTTCCCCTGGGCATGTGGTCTCTGGCATTCTTAGGTACCCTGGCGGGCACTCTGCTGCCTTGGCCTGTGATGCCCGCGCCTGTGTTTACTGTACAGTGACCAACTGGTATAAAGTAACTCCTATCTAGGCTGCATTTGGGGATACATCCCAGTGTGCGTTTTAAGCAGAGCTTGGAAACTGTATTTTTTTTTTTTTTTGGACTACACTGCCTTGCAGTCCTCGTGTGCTAACCTGCCTCTCTGCTTGTATTGTTTTAAGAGACCCTGTTCCCATTGCCACCCCCAATGCCAGAAGGGTTTTGGAATGTCTCCCAAGACAGCAACAAACAAACTTCCTAGAGTGGCTTATTTTCATCCTACTGCTCATGGTCAAGGAAATGTCTTAAGGTGGCTATATTCTCATGCTCTCTCCTTTGACCACCACAGCATGACTGTGGGAGATGCTGAAGTAGCGAGGATACTGACCTCTGCACACTTATTGACATGTAAAATTCAAGACATGTCCAATCTACAATGTGCACACACTGCAAACTCACACTACTATTCACACAGTGGAATGTACACTTCTTTTCTACCAGGTTTCCTAGGTGTCCGCATATGCTTTTGCTCAATGACGGGCATTTATTCACTCAAACAAATGTATCAGGGTAATTGCCTTGCATTGCAGCTATGCATTCAAGTTAAGCCAGTTTAATTTAACCAGTTACTGTACTCATAAAACTGTAGCTGCTGATCTACACAGAAATTCTGGTGACTTTAATGGGGTTTGTGCAAGATTGTGCTCTCAGGCAAAGTTATTAGTCTAAAATAAAACATAATCAGGGAACTTTGTTTTGTTTTGTTTCCAGAGAGCCAGATTATTTACGGGAACAGCCTAATGGGACAGATTACATCCGGATGTAATCTTAAATTTATAAAGGGAAAGACTCTAGTTTTGAAGGGGTTTTAAAACATGGAAATATGTATCTCCACAAGATATTGGTGCATGCCTGAAGAAATGACTTTTAGTGACAAAAGCTTGTACTGAATGTTTAATTTTTAGTGGCCTAAATAAAGGTATCACCCCCTCCTACATTTGTATTAAAAATACTAGGGCTGAAATCCAGTTTAATGTATTCTCGAAGGCTTTCACGGCTGGGATCTGATGGTTGTTGTGAGTTTTCCAGGCTCCAACCTTAAGAACACGGCCAAACAGCCTGGAAAACCCACAACAACCATGAAATCCAGTTATTCAACTTTATGCTGCATGTGGCTGATAACATCATCAGCCACAGCAGCTGTTTTTCAGAAGTTGCAAGTTTTTTATTTCCCTTCTCCCATCATTTCAAGGCTCCTTTGGGATTTCTTTCATAATGGGAAGCCATTGGGGAATATGGGTATGTGTGTTTAATTTCCTAAAATTGGTGCCAGCAGAATGGAGCAGCCGTGATTTTCAGAAATTCTGAAGTCCCCCAATGGCTTCCCACAACAAAAGAGAGCCCAAGGGAACCCTGGAATCTTGGAGTAGGGGGAAATCAGAATTTTTTAATTCCCCCCAAAATGGTTCTGTCAGGTGACATCATCACCCTTACCCTGTGTACCTTTATGCTACCAAATTTCAACCTATGAATCTGAGATTTTAGAAAGTGACTAACAATAATTTATTAATGAAGGGAAATGGGATCAAAGCAATGGAAGCAATTCCAGTAACTGCACAAGTCTCTAAACTAGGGGAGAATGGCATCCAATAAAACCACTTTCCAACACTAGGAAGATAGAAAGATTTTTCCTCAGATCTCTTATGCCGCACTGGTCTGGAATACAACCTTAGGCCTGAAACTGTCCTCTTCTGGTTTCAGCACTGCTGCTGGATAAATGCTGACTGCTTTTTGCCTCAGTGACCAACAGGCAGCCAACAAGGGAGCACTTGAACCATGTGTGAGGTTCCCTCCACTTCCTCCTGTTCAAAACACCCCTCCACCATTTTCACAGAAGTCATAAGATTAATGAAAAATTTGTTAGCATTGTGCTTGGTTTGGAAAACTATGCGGCCTCACTAAACTGGATTAATCTCTTTTTAAAAAATTGAGTGAATTAAGACTAACAGGTTGGTTTAGTGTGTTGATTCCAAGTTGATTCTTAATACCGTTTGGCAGAGAACATGAACCCTAGTTTGGGGCATCCCGTAAGGATCAGGCTACTACGTGAACAAAATGCCAGACAAGATAGGATAGTCCTTTAGTCTCACCCAGCATGGCGTTTCTTCACTTTTCTGTCATTAGCATCCTCTTGAAACAGATGAGCCACTTGTATTCTATCCACCAAATGATATTGCTGGAATGTGCTCAGTCTGTCTTCACATATTTTCTACAATGGTTTCATGAGACACATTCCCAGAAGAACAGACACAGACTGCCCAGCAGTAGCAATCACCCTCTGCATCATCTGGTGTCACTAATGACTTTGCTTTGTCCTCTGAATCTCCATTAACTGAGACATGTGGTGCTGGGAATTAATTGTCGCTCTTACGGTAATGCCTCATGAAAATGACTAATTCAGGCAGCAGCCTGTACATAGGGATGATGTAAGCAGGATGAGGATAGGGGAAAAATGACCAAGGGACACAGTGATTAATGACATCCCATCAAGAGGCCTGGAAGAGCTCCTGTTATTGCCGCTTGCCTGAGACTGCAAAAACAAAGAAATTATCAAGCATCTGGCAATCCAGGATGATGAGTTGTGTCCAGCTCAGACTATCACTCGTTGATTGATTAAACTGTGGGTGTTGTTTTTTTTTAATCTCTGCTTTGGTTAGTGAATTAGCCTCTCGGTCTTGTCTTTCTTTCCCTTCTAACTCTTAAAAATGCCACTGGATCCTCCACATCAAGACAAAATTGCTTTACTTATTGAGTAGGCTATCACATAGCCAGTAGCCTTTTAAAAATGTATGTCTTATTACAGTGCATGTGTCCTATTATAAAATCATTTTTTGCCCCATCACTAATGATTATGGAGGAGAGGAAAGTACCGAGAGCAATCTCCTGAATGAAGTACAGGTGCGAACCTCCTCAGAGTGTTTCCCTCCATTTCAAATTTTAGACTGCCGTAATAACACACCCAGTGACTTATAGCAGAGATCCTACTTTTCCTCAAACAAAGGAATCTGGAATTCCTCAGAGGGCAGAAAATGAAGCATCAAGCTCCACCAGAATATGGCTCATATAAAAGTTGAACCATTTCTACTTGGCTCACTCAAGCTATGAAAAGAGAATGGGAGCTTGCTTCACAGCAAATGTTATCCTCCAACCTTGTTGAGTAGGAAAACATTATTAGGAGAATTGCCTTGCAAACAGACTTCTCAACATCTGCCACAGAACAGTGAACTAAGCACTGAACACATACATGCACTGACCAGACACAATGTGCAATAATTTGCATAAACTCTTGATAGACACGCCTGGGGGAAGTCCTGCTAACACTCTTTCAAATAAGTTTTCGGTACTATCTGGAAAACAAGGGAGTCAGAGAAGATGCACAATCCAGGCATCATGCCTGATCAATGCTTCATTCCACTCCATCTTCATTTCCTTCAACTTCTAGCAATTTTGAACAAAACATGGTTAGGAAAGACAGGGGATCTAGCCTTTTGTTTTGGGGTACAGTACCACATCCTTACACAATCCTAGGCAGATTTAATTTCTTTGGGTTTGGTTGATCATAAGGATATAAGAGAGGCAAGGGCCCCCTAATTCATGCCCTTCAATGTTGTTCTCAACCTAGAATGTACCCCGAGTGAAAAAGCAGCAAAAATATTTTTAACATTTATAGCTGCACAGAGAAAGAACATTTATTTTCAAGGTACAGGGCTCCACCTAAAGGAAACAAAACTACAAACTATCGGAATCCAAGACATTCCTTGTGAACTCCATCAATATAGGATTCAAAACCTGGATCAGCCTGCTCTAATGCCAAAAGTGCTAAACTACTTTCCTTCTACCCACAGAGGCAAAGATCATGCCATAACAAATGAATGAGTTTGTCATCCATAGCAAAAACAGTAAGAGTGACAGCCCCAACTACATGGAGAGAGCCACGCATTTACAGCCCTTCCCTAAAGGGGGAGGATCTGTTCTCAATCATCCCAGAGCACAGGTAGCATAATAATTAAAGGTCAAACTACAGGAAGCCATACTTAGGCTGAATATCTTAACTGTTTAGGCTGAATATCTTAACTGTTAGGACTAATAGATAATGGAACCAATTACCTTAAGAGGTAGTGAGCCCTCCAACACTAGAGGCATTCAAGAGAAAATAGATTGGCTTTGATTTGGATTCCTACAGGGGATTGGAAGATCGCCTTATAAACCCCTTCCTATTCCATTATTCTTTAATAGCCCACTCCCATTCAGGTTTCTCACTATAGCAGGGAGATACATGTTGCCTCTGACTGTACAGCCGGCCATTGGTATCTGCTATCCTCCTATAAGGATGCTGGTTTAAGACTGCCAGCAATCATGGCTCAAGACTGGACTGGGACAGCTGGCAGATGGCTAACCACCCTCATAACCACCCCAGCGTGCATACACAACTCAATCTATTTCTAAGGAGCTGGATAACTCTAAACACTGACTCTGCAATCCCAAAGGCACTGTTTCCTAGCTTGGAATCTGTTTCAGAGTAAGAGTTGTTAACAAACTTCACTTCCAAAATGTTGGAATGTTCTGACTTCTGCCACGCAATCATTCTTATGAGGCCCACCTCTAAAACAAAGAGAAAACAAAGGGAAATTGGCAGGAAAGCTCTGGTACAATCCGGGAGGTTTGTCTATCCTTTGGTTGTACTTTGGTTTGTTTTTTGTTGTTGTTGTTCTGTGTTATCGGGTTTGCACCAACTCATAGCAACCCCTAAGAGTGAGATACTGTATTTAAGAATGGTTTCACCAGTTCCTCACACACACCCAGTGAGTTTCCATGGCTGAGGGGGGATTTGAACCCAGGCCTCCTAAATTCTAGACCGTCACTCTATCCATTACACCACACTGGGTATCTCTGCTGTTGGTACTGTTATGCTGCTGTCAATTCAGAATTCTCTGACAGCGCCCCTAATAGTGTTTTGCCAGGTAAGTACTGCAGTAGATGAACGACGAAAGGCATTCCCCGGAAACTGAATGAAGATCGGGCCGCCCGAGAACGTATCATCTTTCCCGCCTAGAAGCCGCACAGCCCGATCCACGTTAACTAGGAAATAAAACTCCAAGGAGGCTTCCTTTCGGGCCAGTCCGTCGAGAGGCGCTTTCTCCCGCTCCAGACGCCAACTGTAGTTACAGCGCCTGAAACAGCAGGCGGAGCTCTAGGGCTCCGCCCCTCCCCCCTCCCCTTCTATGACCACTGCGGAGGCGTTCTTTCTCTCGCAGCCACCGTCTCTATGGTAAAGCCCAACTCAATCCTCCTAACCCCAGACATCCGCC